ATCTCTATTGTGGTTTTGATTTGCATTTCTCTGATGGCCCAGTGACGATGAGCATTTTTTCATGTTTCTGTTGGTATACACTAAATATTGTACTATGTGAAAAAAACCAAGAAAACAATTCCATTTATAGTAGTTTTTTAAAAGATACCTAGAAATAAACCAAGGAAGTGAAAGAATCTCTATAGTGAAAAGTGTAAAATTTTGATGGAAGAAATTATCTTCCCACATCAGTAAATGGGAAGAAAGTCCATGTTCATGGATTGAAATAATTAATATTGTTAAAATGGCCCATACTACCCAACAAAGTGATCTACAGATTTAATGCAATCTCTATCGAGAACACACACCACATTATTAGTACAGAAATAAAACAATCTGAAAATTTATATAGAACCACCACACACACACAAAAAAAACCAAATAGCCAAAGCAATCCTGAGCAAAAAGAACACAAACTGGAGGCACCATACTACGCGGACTTCAAAATATACGATAAAACTATTATTTACACCAGCATGAACTAGCATAAAACCAGACAGACCAATGAAATAAAATGGAAAGCCTAAAATACATTTTTGCATTCTACAATAGCCAAACTGATTTTTTTAAGATGTTAAGAACATACACTGGGAAAAGACAGTCTCTTCAACAAGTGGACTAGGAAAATTAGATATTCCACATGCAGAAGAATGAGATTAGACCCCCTCCTCTCGCACCATTATCAAAAATCAAATAGATTAAAGATTTAAAATGTAGAACTTGAAACTATGAAATTACAAGAAAAAAGGGAAATTATTCTCAACACTGAGCTGAGCAAGGATTTTAAAAATAAACCCTCAAAAGCACAGACAAAATAAGATTAAATCAAACTAAAAACCTTTGCACCTTAAAGAAAACTAATTAACAAAGTGAAACAGCTGCAGAATGGGAGAAAAATATTTGCATCTATACATGTGACAAGGAATAAAATCCAAAAATATATAAGAAACTTAATTCAAAGAAAAAAATAATAACGATTTTTTTTTTTTAGATGAAGTCTCCCTCTGTCGCCAGGCTGGAGTGCAGTGGCACCATCTCAGCTCACTGCAATTCACACCCTCTCGGGTTCAAGCAATTTCTCCTGCCTCAGCTCCCAAGTTAACTGGGACTAATAGGCATGGGCCAACCACCGAAACGCTAAGCTAATTTTTGTATTTTTTAGTAAAGAGACCAGGGTTTCACCATGTTGGCCAGGATGGTCTCGATCTCCTGACCTCGTGATCTGCCTGCCTTGGACTCTCAAAGTGCTGGGATTACAGGTGTGAGCCAGTGCACCTGGCCAGCTTGATTTTTTAAATGGACAAAAGATTTTGACAGGTCTCGAAAGAAGACACACAAATGACCAACAGGTACATTTAAAAGATACTTAACATCACTAATCATCAGGGAAATGCAAATCAAAACCACAAGAAGATGCACTTCACTCCAGTTAGAATGGCTATTGCCAAAAAGACAAAAGAAAATAAGTATTGACACAGATATGGAGAAAAGGGAACACACACTGTTGGTATGATTGTAAACTAGTACAGTCATTATGGAAAACAGCATGGAAGTTCCTAAAACAATCAAAAATAGAAGTATCATATGATCCAGCAATCCCACTACTGGATATACATCCAAAGGAAATAAAATCAGTATGTTGAAGAGATCTGCACTCCCGTTGTTTATTGCAGCACTATTCACAATGGTCAAGATATAGAATCAACTTAAGCATACAACCATAGATGAATAAAGAAAATGTGTTACATAAACATAATGGAATACTAGTCAGCCATAAAAAAATAAAGTCCTGTCAATTGTGAATGGATAAGCCTGAAGGACATCATGTTAAGTGCAGTAACCCAGACACAGAAAGACAAATACCACATGATGTCACTCACATGTAGAATCTTTTTCTATTATAAAAGGTTGATACAGATAAGGCAGAGATTAGAATAGTGGTTACTAGAGACTGGGAAGGGGAGGGGAGAAGGAAGGATGGAGAGAGGTTAGTCAACAGACACAAAGTTGTAACTAGGTAGGAAGAATAAATTCTGGGGTTTTGTTGCATAGTACGGTGACTATGGTTAACAGTAAAATACTGTATATTACAAAATGACTAGAACAGAGTCTTTTGAATGTTCTAACCCACAAGGAAATGAACATGTGAGGAAATGATGAACGTGTGAGATGAAGGAAACACTACTTTGATCAGATAACTGCACAACATAAATATCAAAACGTCAAATAGTATCTCATAAATATGTACAATTACAATGTGTCAATTAAAATTTTTTTAAACAATCAAAAAGTTATTAGACCAGCTGTTGGATCTGGTTGAGTTAACGTGCTTAAGAAGCACATGCATAACATCACACGTTTGATTTAAAATATTTTTCTACCTAAAAAAGATCCCCAAAAAGTGCTGATACTTTTGTGCCTCCCAACTTGACTTATAGCCTCTTTTTGAAAGCCTCACTTCTACAGGGAAGGCTAACACATCCATTATTCCAGGTCACCCCTGAACCCAATAAAAAGAACTACAATTACTACAGTTACGCTCATTTACCCTGCCAACAAGACCATCAATTTGTTCCAATTTTGGCAGTCAAAGTCTTCATAAAATACATTAATGTCTTTGCTCATCACTCAAGATGGAAAATTAGAAAAAGATCCCATAGTATTTTATTTCATCAGTGAAAACAATTAAGGTACTATGAGATTTAAAAACTAAGCAGTCTTGAAAACATAGGTATGTTAAAATAATCTCCAGTGACCTCCTCTACCCATCCTCATCCTTTTCTGAGGCAGCCAGTCACTTGCCAACCAGCAATGGACATGCTCTCTCCCCACCACATCCTACCATATCACGTCCTCCCAAGTACAGTAACTTTGATGTAGCTCCTCTTCCATTTAATCTTTTACCACTCACATCTAAGCTTATTCAACAACAGAGAGTACTTCTAATATTTAAATATATCATCTCCTAATATCTCCTTTTTATTTCCCAGTGTTTGTTTTTGTTTGTTGTGTTTGAGATGGAATTTCACTCTTGTTGCCCAGTCTGCAGTGCAGTGGCATGATCTCGGCTTACAGCAACCTCTACCACCCAGGTTCAAGCGATTCACCTGACTCAGCCTCCCAAGTAACTGGGATTACATGCACGCATCACCATGTCTGGCTATATTTTACCTAAACAAAACATCTCTTGTTTTTTTCCATAAATAGAAGTACTTACTAAGGCTCTAGGCTTCTGTGTCCCCAATTTTAGAGGCCCAAAGTCGTTTGAATACCAGCTCTTAATTACAAAGAAAAAAGGGTACACCTGTTTGAAGCAAAGAGACAATCAAATGATTTTAGGGCATAATTAAACAAAGAATCAGTACTTACAACCTTTATTTAGAACTCTACTGCCAGGGGTGCGCTAATTAAACCTATTTTTCCTTAATCACCACTCAATAAAAAACAGCATTTTTCTCATGTCATTGTTTGCTTTTTTTGTACACAAATACTGCAACATTGGTTTGTATGACCTCTCATTGCACAATGTCTCATTTTAATTCTATAGTATTTCAGCTGCGTTGTAGGTTAAATTGACTCTTTGGGCTAATCCAAACTCTAATTATAAACTTCTATATTGCATAACTCAAATTGCCTGAAAGACTTACAAATAATTCTATAGCTATATCCCTAGCTTTTAACTTAAAAGGTTCAAGAAAATACTACACCTTGGCTTTTAGAACACCTAAAAACACTTTAAGGTCAAAGACTGTTTTCATGAAGTGAGCGACCATGGCACATGCAGCACAGGCAGAATTCACAATCGCAACCAGTGCTGAGACCCTGGCTAGTTGGTTTCATTTCGTTAGACTTTTGAGCAAGAAACTTGAAGACAATGAGTCTTTCTATTCTGTAACATAAACAGCACACTGTGTCTTGTTTTCCAACAGGGGAAGACAAATTTTTTTAATTTCATAAGTTTGTATTGAGCTAAAAGAGGTTGAATACCAAATTCCGTTTCCCACAAGTCATCTCCTAGCGAGTAACCTTGATGTAGTTCCTCCCCCATTTCATCTCTTTCACCACTCACAGCTGAGCTAATTCAACAATGGGGAGTATTTCTCGAGTTTGGACTTAGAAATAAGACTATATGAAAGTCTACAAGACTTGTAAAATGGTCTTTATAAGTTATCTGTAAGTTTATAAAGCCATTTGACTAAGACGTGAAAATAGACTCCAAGTATTTCTGTTGTAAACTACAGCATTCTAACTTCTTTAGGTAACTAAAATTTTAAGTCAATAAAAGGCAAACGTGAGCAAACCGCTTGACATAACTAAGTATCGCAAAACTGTGATCCAATATTCTAGGGTCAATATTAAAAATTAAAAGTTTCTAGACTGAGCCTGAAGAAGTCTTAATTCTTGACAATGGCAAGGGAGGTGAGGGGCAGAAAAAAATCCAGAAACGCTCCCAAAGCTCTGGGGTTACATTTTCAAGTCAGCAAAATGGAAGTTGGATTCAGAACTCTTGTGTATGCATAATCTGTAAAATGTTTATAGTTTCAATGTACCATCAAATTGATGGATTAAAACTTTTTCAACTTGGAGGGGCGGAGTAGGTGACCTTCTCACATTTGTAAATTGGCTCAAGACTTTCTGCTGAGACGCTGAACAAAAGCTGAGTGTGACGTTTGTCCGGGGAAGGTCCCGGAGGCGGGAGAAGGCTAGGTAGCGAAATGAATCCCTGGGGGTTCTGGGGTGGGGCGAGGGGCGTGAGTTCCCGGTTGGGAAGGAGGCGGCGGCGACTTGGGGACTCGGTAACCTGTCCAGGCTGTGAGGAGAGTCCGGGCTGTGAGGAGACCCCGGGGAGGGGAGGAGAGAGAAGGAGAGGGTGGAGCGAAAGCGCGCGAGTGGCAGGCCTTGGGCCGGGGAGAGGGAGGAGGCGCGGAGGGAGGCGAAGACGCTTGGGGCCTGACACTCACCCGCCGGGCGCTCGGGCTGAATGGGCCGCCACCGCAGTGCTCGCTCGCTCAGTACCACGTCACAGCTGTCCCTCCCGATCTCGAAGATGCCCCGGAGCAGAATCCGCTCGGCCGCCGCCTCCGTCTGCTGCGGGGACGTTAACAGCGCCGAAGGCACAGCGGCAGCCTCCGGGGGCGGCTCTTCCTCCCGGCCGCCCTCCAGGGCACTCACCCGGTTCCTGCGCCTCCTCCAGGGCATGGTGGAGCCGCAGGCTGGGCCCGAGCCAGGGGTACCGGGAGGCCTTTGGAGGAGGAGGTGGAGGGCGCGGCAGCCCCAGCTCTAGCCGCGTCCTGCGCTGCCACAGCAACGGCGCGCAGGGCAAGGACCCAGGAGGGAGGCGGGGCCGCGCCTGACCCAGTCCAGCACCCTGGCCTGCCAGCCTCTCGCTTCGCCACTCACTACAAAAAGACCCAGCTGCAAGAGGAAGAATAAGTGGCTCCCTCCGCCTAGCTTCTCCTGCAAAGTACGGTTTCGCACTTTTCGTTACCCTCAAGTTAAACCAGCCCTCCTCAAACTTGCATATCCCTTGGGCGTCTTGTTCAAATGGAGATTCTTATTGAATAGGTGTGGGACTGGCCCCCAAATACCACATATCTGGCCGGGCGCGGTGGCTCAAGCCTGTAATCCCAGCACTTTGGGAGGCCGAGACGGGCGGATCACGAGGTCAGGAGATCGAGACCATCCTGGCTAACAGGGTGAAACCCCGTCTCTACTAAAAAAACACAAAAAACTAGCCGGGCGAGGTGGCGGGCGCCTGTAGTCTCAGCTACTCGGGAGGCTGAGGCAGGAGAATGGCGTGAACCCGGGAGGCGGAGCTTGCAGTGAGCTGAGATCCGGCCACTGCACTCCAGCCTGGGCGACAGAGCGAGACTCCGTCTCAAAAAAAAAAAAAAATACCACATATCTAAGAAAATACTAGGTAATGGATCCCGCTGGCCAAGGAACACACTTTGAGTTGCAAGGGTGGAAGCCTCTTTTTCCACCTCCTTTCCAGAGGGTTCCCTGGCGAGCAGAGGTGGTGCTTTACAACCCTGTTACGGAGTACTAGCGCACTTCTCAAAACCCCTGAGGGGAAGCTAGAGATAAGGCCCTGGTTTGCATAGACAAATTTGCATCTGACAAATTCAGTATTAAAGGTAAGTGCCTCCAGGTGTAAGTATTTAGGATCCTACTTTCCCCCAAGCTATCTCCTCTGCAATCTTGTCTTTGCCTGGATCTTACACTCCCCTGAGGGAGATTACAAGCAGCAGGGCTTCTCTTTCACGCACTGCTATAAAGAAGTGTCACCTGGAAAAGGAGACGACCCCGCGGGGGCTGGGGGGGTGTTCACCCTTTTCTCCTGGTAAATGAGATTTCTAATATCAGCTGCTCGTTAATTTGGAAAACACAAGAGAGTCTGGAGGATAGTGATACTCAATAGTGGTTGCACATTAAAATTACATGGGGAACTTTTGAAAACCCAAATATCCAGGCTACACTCAAGGCAATTAAGCTGGAATCTCTGGAGGCGAGACCCAGACTTCCGGATTTTTAAAAGTTCCCAGGTAATTTCAATGTTCAGCCAAGGCTGATAATGGCTGCTCTAAGCAGGGTGATAACACAGGGAGCTGAGTATTTATAATGCTGGAGCAGTCAGGAAGAAAGTGAGTGCCTGGGAAGAGGAGCAGAGTGGGAAGTAAAGCAGAAGGCTTTTTTTTTTTTTTTAAACAAGGTCATTACCATCATATTGAAAAAAGGAGTAGGGGAGTTGAAGAGGAAATTAAATGCATGGGTTGTAGATCTAGTTCCAGTGTTCTAGTGCCTAAACAGTTCTATCATAGAGGCAGCAAATTCTTATTCTTTCCTCATTCCTGGTCACACTGCAAAGTCACAGAAAGAGCTAACTATAGCAGGAGTTTCTCAAGGTTCTTAGTTCAGATGGTTTGTAGGCCTAACCAAATCCCTATCAAACATAAAGCACTGTGCACCAGTTAATCTAGGACTCTTACTGTTTAATGCTCCGACAATAAGTACCCAAGCTTCGAGGAAAAGCAAGGAAGAGCTTCAGTTTGATCTGACTGCAGTGAGCTATTTCTTAGAGCAGAAGGCAGCTGCTGCTAAACCCCATGCAGGCTTCAGGTGGCTCTGCTCAGCAGTCATTAGTGGGAAAAGGATGGTGCCCTTCGCAAAATGAGTTGCAGTTCTGGAGTCAGCATCTTGTATTCACAGCTGTTAGGCAATCAACACAATTAGAGCTCACTGGCATTTTAAAAGCTCACCCAGAGCCAGGGCAAACAGACCAAGCCAATGGCTAGTCATTAGGAGTTTTGCAAAGGTGCAAGTTGCCATTTTTCAAGCTTCACTCAAGCTAGGAAGTCAAAAACAGTGGCTTTGAATTGTCCTGAAGGTGGAAGTAGTGAGAGTTGTGTTACCTTCTTTCTATCTTTTTTTTCTTGGATAAGCTGCCTTTTTCCAGGACTGTAAAGGCTGGAATGCCCTAGGGCTCTGTCTTTAGGCTCTATCCACACACGCTGTCCCGTGCTTTATGTACTATCCAGGGTTCTGCAAATGATGACACCAGCTTCAACCACTCTCCTGAACTTCAGGTATTATGTCCAACTGCCTACCTGACATCTCTACTTGGCTGTCCAATAAGCTTCTAAAACCAGACTCATGATTTTCCATCACAAACCTGTCCCTCTCAAAATGTTTCAAATCTATAGTATCAAAATCCTTGATATCATCCATGTCTCCTTTGTCTCATACCTTCAATCCAATCTACCAGCAAATTCCTGTCCATTCTGTCTAGAACAGATAGTCCTTTCTGCCTGCTGTCATTGCAGTCCGCACTTCTGCACCCCTCAGCTGGATAACTTCAGTCTCAGCTCTCCCAACCCATCTCTCTGCTTTCCCTTTCCCCTGTGCTGATATCTACAGCCCAGAGCCGATTTTCCACTTTGTAGTTACATTGTGCCTTTAAAAATAACAAGAGTGTATAACTCGGCTCACAACCTTCCAATAACTTCCCATTATTCTTGGAATAAAGTCCAAATGCTTAGCAAGTCGAAAGGCCCTCCCTAATCTGGACCCTGTCTATGTCTCTGAGATCACCTACCAACTTTTTCCTCTTGCTCATTCACACAAAGCCTTCTTGCTAGTCCTCAAACACATTGAGAGGAATCCCTTCTCAGAGCATTTGCTTTTGCTGTTCCCTCTGGCTGGAACGCTTTTCTCCCCACCAGATGGTCCACTCCTTCACTTTGCTCATTTTTCTGTTTGAAGGCCAGCACCTCAAAGAGGCCACTCCTGAGCACCCTCCATCATTCACCATCCTGTAAACCTGTGTATTCATTTCTTACTGCTGCTGTATCTAATTACCACAAATTTAGTGACTTGAAACAAAATAAATGCATTGTTTTATATTTCTGGAGGTCAGAAATCCAAAATTAGTTTCACAGGACTAAAATCAAGGTGCCAGCAGGCCTGTATTCCTTCTGTAGGCTCTAGAGGAAAATATGTCTCCTCTTTTCCAGCTTCTAGAGCAGCGGTCCCCAACCTTTTTGGCACTTCCACCTTTTTGTGGAAGACAGTTTTTCCACAGATAGGGGCAGTTTGGCATTGTGAGTCTTTTGGAGGCATTAGTTTCTCATAAGGGGCACAAACTAGATCCCTTGCATATGCAGTTCACAGTAGGATTCAGGCTCCTATGAGAATCTGATGCTGGCACCGACCTGACAGGAGACGGGGCTCAGGTGATAATGCTTGCTTGTCCGCCACTCACCACTCATCTCCTGCTGGGCGGCCTGGTTCCTAACAGGCCACAGACAGGTACTGGTCCATGGCCCAGAGATTGGGGACCCCTGTTCTAGAGGTCACCTGTGGATTTTGTTTTGTTCTATGTTTTATTTGTTTTGGCTCGTGTTCACTTTTTCCATCTTCAAAGCCAGCAGTGTAACATCTGTCCTCTTTGTTTCTATCCTTAAATCTCTTTTCCTATGTCTTTGACCTTTGTGCCTTCATCTTGTAAGGACTCTTATGATTATATTGGGCCTGCCCAGATAACCCTTAATTATGTTCGCAAAGCCTCTTTTGCTTTGTAAGGTAACATATTCACAGGTTCTGGGGATTGAAACATGGACATCTTCAGGCTGCCATTAATCTCTCTACCATAACCTGCTTTAGTATTCTTTACAGCACTTACTATTAATTCTTATTACATGCTTCTTTGTTTATTGTCTAGCTTCCCCACTGAGTTAGTGCAGTTAGTAACAATGCTGAAATACGGAGAACACTCAGTAAATTTTAAGTTTGTTAGAATATAAGCTCCTTGATGGCAGAGAATTTATCTTGTTCACCATTAAATTCCCAGTATCTATCACAGTTCCTAGTACACAGTAAGTGCTCAATTAATATCTGAAAGAATGAATGAACTTCTTCAATATTTATCTATAACAATAATACCAAGAGACCCCAATTATTTCATGTTAGTTCCTGAAGATCAATTGTCTGATTAGCAGTGTGTGTGTGTGTGTGTGTGTGTGTGTGTGTGTGTGTGTAAAATACTAATGCATGAAAATTGCTTTCAAAAAACTTTCAGGAAGCTTCCTGAACATTGCTTTCCCTCCTTTGGCTGAAGCTTGGGTATTTGTTTCCAGAACATTAAACAGTACAAGTCCTAGTTTAAAAGGCACTTTGTTGCTTTATGTTTGGAAGGTATTTGACTAGATCTGGAAACACAGTCTCCATCCCTGGTTCTTAGAAATCCAAGTCTGAGTAGAAGACCATAAAAAACATTCTGCTATTGTTAACATTGCTTTCAGGAGGCCTTTAAATATGTCCTGAAAACAAATACCCAAACTTCCAGAAGAAAGGCAGCAAATCCCCAGGTAATAGGCCAATGGGACAGACTCCAGAAGTCTGGGCCACCTTCTCAATGCCACAGATAGAGGGAGACGAATTCACAGTCGACAGAGACATTCAGACCCACTGCAATGAGGGCAACAGACAAGGAAGTCTAATTCCAGTCAGGACCAACTGCCATGGATCTGAATTTTAGCCAGTGGGTAATCCTATGGTAGTCCCTTTGATCTCCCTAAGTCTCTGCTGAAGTTTGGAGTTTATGTGACAAATGATTGAGGGTTTATGCTATCATCGACATAGTTCTTTCTCAAACTCCAGTATATAGATTTTTTTTTTTTATTAACAACTTCTCACTGCAGGTAGAATAAAATCCAAACTTCTATTATGACATATGAGACACCATGTTGTCCAATTCCTGCCCACCTACTCAAACCCTCTCTTTTCTATCATTTTTCTTCTA